AGAAACATCTCCCAGCTGCCTCCTGCACCCCTCCCACTGGGGATGTGCCCGCAACCAAGGCACATGCCCCTGACCGGGATCGAACCGGGGCCCCTCCAGTCCGCAGGCCGACGCTCTATCCACTGAGCCAAACCAGCCAAGGCAACTTTTATAATCGAAGGTGATGTGGGGACAGGGACACATATGTAATATCTTAATCAATAAAAAATATATTAAAAAAAAAAGAATAGATGTTTGTGGGTATAGGATAGTTAACAGTTAACAACATGGTAACAGTAACAATGAGAGGCGCTGTGGTCTGCTCTGGTGGGAGTTGTGCCCTGAGGGGTCTGGAGAAGGGGATCACTCCAAAGGTGTTACCCATGGTGGATGCAAAAAGACAACAGACAGGCTCAGGTACGGGTTGGCCTTTGTGGAGGAAGATGCAGGCCGAGGACGTGACTCCCACTTTAGTTGGGAAACTGTAATAGCAGGACGTCCTGTGTGGTTGCTGCAGGGCTCTGGGTTTATAAGGCCCACCTTGCAGGCCTCCCCGGAGCCTGTCAGTTTAGTATGTGGCTCCTTCTCTGCCCACAGATAGAAGAGCGATTGTTTCCGGGAGCTTTGGGTTTAGCCACATTGCATTCTGAGAAGAGGACTTGGAGATGCCGGGGAGACTGAGATCCCTCCCCTGCAGCCGGAGATGCTTCTTTCAGATACAGAGAAGGAAAACGGTTGCCAAAGGAGACATGGAGATGTTGAGGAAAGAATGCTGGGGAGTCTGTGTTTAAATTCTGCTGCTTCTGTGACTTCCTATTTATCTTTTGGAGGCTCATCTGTAGAATGAGGCAAATTATAGTCATTCTTATCAGATAGGAGTGTCCTAAAGATTAGGGGAGAATACAGGTGCAGGGCCAGTTTGGCTCAGTTGGTTGAGTGTTGTCCCATACACTGAGAGGTCCGGGTTTGATTCCTAGTCAGGGCAAATGCCTGGGTTGTGGGCTCAATCCCTAGTAGGGGACGTGCAGAAGGCAGCCAATGATGTTTCTCTCTCTCTCCCCCTCCCTTCCCCTTTCTCTAAAATCAAACATATTTTCCAAAAAAGCAGCAACTGTCTTTAAGAGAGGGACTAGCATTCAGCGGTGCGACCTGCCGCCCACTAGGCCAGGCTTTTTCAACCAACACTTAACGCTTCTCTCTGGGCAGGGTTGAGGGTGGCGTGGAAGAGGTGGAAGAGGTAACTCCCTCCCTAGGGTTGTGCTACATCTATCTATGCCTCTGAAATGATTTCATTTCTCTTCTCAACAGTCTTCCGCTTCCACATCACAAGAAACTGCAACTACCCTGTATTCAGTGGTGCTGCCCTCAGGGAAGGTGAGCCTCCGCCCCCAGGGGTGCTTGGGCGCAGGGGTATGTTTTGCATGCGCACTGCAGCTCAGGCTGGCACTTCTGAGTGACTTGACTTCCACTGCATATATCCAAGTGACTTGTGTTAAATGACCGTTGAAAAGTGAATGGGCAAGTGCCTTTCTAGTTCTGTTTGGAGAAAAACAGCAGCTCTGAGTCTGGGAGAAGAATATATTAAAGGTGTTTCCAGAAGTTTCTGTGGAAGGTAGAGGACAATCAGAGAGGAAGTGATTGGTGCAGGAACCACAGTATCCTGGTAGGCCAGCCGAGGCTGTGGTGAGAGAAAGAGAGGTTTCCGATGCGAACTGAGCGGCAGGATTGCACGGGACCTGGAGAGACAGCGTTGACCTCCGGGAACAGTCACCTCATGGTAGAGGCCTGGGACTGAGGCAGCCCATCGGAGTCCCCTCTAATCCTGATCCAAGGGGGGCTTGCAGCCCGTATGGGTACCTGGAACCACAGAGCTGGGTGTCCTGGGCCCGTACCATCTTTTCATCTCGGGTGGGAGGGGACTCAGTGCAGACCATCAGCTGAGCTTGGTGATGAGAAGCGGGGAGCCTGGCGGATGTGAAGGACGGCGATCAAGCAGGTCAGCGATTGTGTGTTTGTATCAAAAGGGGGAGAAGGTTAGGATACATTTTCAGACTTTTAATCCACCCCCTTCCAATAAGTCATTCAATCAACTGGGATTTTAGCGAGAGAGATTGATATTTAAGTTCCATGCTACACACATGGCCACAGCACCTGGCCGCAGGCTTCGGTTTTATATCTGAAGACTCTGCCGACTACTGAGAGCCTGGAGCTCCGCTGGGTGAGTGTGTGCCATGCATTGAACAGATACACAGTGGAAGCCGTGTTTGTACTAGGTTTGTCTGAAGGCTCCGTGTGTGTGTGTGTGTGTGTGTGTGTGTGTGTGTGTGGTCTGAGGGGTGAGGGGTGCATGGCTGTGGATGTTAAACCGATTTTGGTTCAGAAATGTCACATCATAGGTAAGTATGTGTTAACACCTTCTGAAAACCAAAACCCCATGGTTGGCTCCTGGGGTAGGAGATTCATTCACTTCTGGTTGGTGCCACTTCAAGGGCTCTCTGGGCACCGAGTCCCTTTTGGGACCTCTCACACCACTTTGGAGCGGGGCATTTCTTACCCTGAAGTTAAGATCTTTTACCCTCTGAATTTCAGGCTGGACCTAAGAAGAGGAGCCACAGCCCTTCCATCTATGAAGGGGTAAGATTCTGAATGGGCTTAGTGCCTGCAGCATATCTGGGAAATTGTGCACTTGTGACAACATCATCCACAGAGTCTCAGATCTGTAGGGATTTTAGGCAGATTCTAATCCAAATCCTCACTTAGAGGTGAAGAAACTGAGGCCCCAGCAGAGTGAGGGTCTAACACAAGGTCATATCATGTGTTGGGGTTTGGCTCTTACTGGGGAGATTGAGTTTCAAATTAGGGCCATCTCCAGGCTAGTTCCCCAGCTTGAACCCTACAATGGACACCTCTCCCTTCCAAGTGTGTTTGTGGGGTGGGGAGATCAGAGAAGGGAGGCTTAGCAAGTCTGAATGATTTTCTAAAGTTAGCAAGTCATGGAGAGTCATTCCAGAATACAGGTGATCTTCGCTGCTTCTAGGGTGAACACTGAACAGAGGTGCCCCTGAGCATGGACCACTCGGAATGGAAAGCAGGGTCTCAACATGGATTAAGGTGGGGTGCTGCAGGTGGCCTGCCAGTGGCTTCATACGGATGAGCTCATTTAATCCCACAGAATGTGTGAAGTAGGTATAATCCTACTTCCCATTTGTACCCATAGAAAGTAAGGCGCGGAGAGCACCCCTCTCTTTCCCCCTTAGCCTCCTCCTGCACCCAAGCTTCCACCTGTGGCCCGATAATAACGTTGCCATTGGTCCCAAGGGAGGGGAGGCTGGGTGCCTGCTGTGCTTCCTGGCATTTTGACAGCAGCTCCACATTAAAGCCACCTGGACAGTCCAGAGTTGCAGAGGACACTGTGTGGCCCCAGGCTGTTGGGGTCCAGCCCCCTGGGGTCCAAGGGTTCCCAAAGGTGTGGATGGAGTCGGCGAAGAAGGAATGACATGGAGACAGCATTCAGTTGATCAGCATAGTGAGGTTCTCCAGCCAGGATCTCCAGCCAAGTTCTGTGTTTATCGTCCTGTTACATCTGTATTTATACCAGTTGATTTTAATCCTATCCATTCTATTCCAAAGGTTAGGGCGTTTCTTATCTCCATTCCAAGGTTACTCTATTGTTCTATTAAGCTACAAGGAAGTAACTGAAGGAGATTATCCTAAGTAAGATTATGTAGTTTAAGCGTGATTGTTCGTAGTTAAAGTGATTAATTACCCGCCTGGCACTTAGTTAAGGGGTTTTATTCTCTTCGTAACTCCAGGTAAAAATCCTCACCTGGGGGAAACAACCTTTCTTGGGGAGGTGGTCCTGTTTAAAACACATAGCGTTAAGAGGGGGAGCAAACATATGCCATATATGCCAGGTCCCTTGAAAAATAAGGTGTGCAGATGTTTCTTCCCTGTAGTGACTGTGTCAAGCAGCAAGGGTGGATTGGCTTCTGGCACCAGGCAATCTAGGGGGAGTCAGGAGGAAGCATGGTTAACAACACTAGACCTGGCGCCAAAAGAATTGGATTCAAGCCCCTCCTGTACTTCAGTCAGTCATTCTGAGCTTCATTTTCTTAATCTGTAAAATGGGGTTAACAATTCATACCCCACAGGGTTGTTTTGGGGATCTCCTAGTGGGAGTGTCTGAACTTCCGTTTCTTCTGCAGGTTGGAAAGATACAACCCAGAGCCCAACATGCTGCCTGACTCAACACCAGGAGCTGGAGAGCTTTTCTGTATAATCCCAGGGGCCACTGCCGGCCTCCCCTGTGTTAGGACCCGGCGTCTGTGTTGGGAATCAGTGCAACGGATGACACCATATGAGTCTACATAATAGTTCCTAGTCTGGGAGTTTGTTGATGGACTATATTTTGTTTTGAAAATGATTTTTAACAGCCATTAAAATAGCATGGCACCTGCACCAAGGGGTTGAGGGCTTGATCCCCAGTTGGAGGGCTTGATCCCCAGTTGGATGCTGTAGGAGGCAGCCAATTGGTGTTTAGCTCTTGCATTGATGTTTCTCCCTCTCCCTTCTCTCTCTCTCTCTCAATAGTGATCAGAAAAGAAGAAGAAATAAAAGGCATCCAAATAGGAAAAGCACAAGTAAAACTGTTATTATTTGTAGATGACATGATATTGTACATAGAAACCCCTAAAGGCTCCATCAGAAAACTACTAGATTTAACAAATGAATTTGTCAATGTAGCAGGATACAAAATCAACACCCCCAAATCAATGGCTTTTTTATACACCAACTAGAGGCCCGATGCACAAAGATTCATGCAAGAATAGGTCTTCCTTCCCCTGGCTGCCAGCAATGGCTTCCCTCCATCACCTGGGACGCAGGTCTTTGCTCTGGCTGCCACCTTCCACCTTCACTCTGGCCGGAGCCGCTTTCTGCCTTTGCTCCTGTGGAGCTGCCTTTGCTCCGGCCCTGCTGCCCTCCTGTAGCTCCCTCCACCCCCTGCCCCTTCTATAGCAGGCATCCTGTCCTGCCCCGGCTGTTCCGTGCCTGCACACACGAGCTTCCCAGAGGCCTGGAGTGGCTGGGGCAGGGCGGAATGCCTGCATCCCAGCCCAACCACTGCCATCTTTGTCACTTCAATTTGCATATTCCCTCCTTATTGGCTGTGGGCGCCACCATCTTTGTCACAGAGTGATGGACATTTGCATATTCTGTCTTTATTAGATAGGATAATGAATTATCAGAAAGAGAAACTGAACAAACAATCCCAGTTACCACTGAAATAAAAATTAAGATACTTAGGGATAAACTTAACTAAGGAGGTAAAAGACTTGTACTTGAAAACTACAAATCTTTGAAAAAAGAGAAAGAGGATGATATAATCAAGTGGAAGAATATACTGTGCTCATGGATTGGTAGAATGAACATCTTTAAAATATCTATACTAAGAGATTAAAAAAGGTGGTAGAGTAAGTGGATGCTACACAGACACGCTCCCAGGACCAAACTGGAATTACAACTAAAATACAAAAACTTCCTAAATAATCAATAAAACAATCACTGGAGAGAACCCTGTTAACCAAGGATGGAAAGTGCAGACCACATAGAGACTGGTAAGAGGGACAGAGTGTGAAAGGGCTGGTGGGGCTCCCACAGAGAGCAGCTGAAATTCTGAAGAGATATCCCAGGTGTGGGGGGGTGCACTGAGAACTCTGGGATCTAATCCCCAAGCTGGGCCCCCAGCAGAGAGCATCAGAACTGAGAAGGGTGCCCACATAACCTCTGGCTGTGAAAAGCAGTGGGGTTGCTGTCTGCCAGAGAGAAGACTGGAAATTCAGGCACCCTCTTAAAGGGCCAATGCACAAAATTCTCTGTGGAGCCACCTATGATGTTCTTCTGCGGAGGGAGGGCAGAGTAGACTGGAGCTGTGTGAGCAGAAGCCAGGATTTGGGGTTCTGGAGTTAGAGCTCAGAAGGTAGATACCCCAGTTTCTTGTGCTGAGAACAGCTTAAGGGAGCTGTGGGACAACATGAAATGTAACAGTATTCAAATAGCAGCTGTGTCAGAAGAGGCAGAAAGGGAGAAAAGAATATACAAAGGGTTTGAAGAAATAATGGCAGATAACTTCCCTAACCTGGGAAAGGAAAAAGTCACACAAGTCTAGGAGGCACAGAGAACTCCAAGCAAGAAAAACCCAAACAGGCCCATACCCAGGCACATCATAATTAAATGCCAAAAGTTAAGGACAAAGAGAGAATTTTAAAGAGAAAAGTAAACTGTTACCTACAAAGGAGCTCCCATAAGGCTGACACCTGATTTCTCATCAGAAACTGTTCAGGCCAGAAGGGAATGGCATGAAGTACTCAAGGTAATGAAAAGGAAGGATCTGTGACCAAGATGACTATATCCATCAAGGCTATCATTCAAAATAAATGATGAAATAAAGAGCTTCCCAGGCAAAAACAACAACAACAACAAAACTAAAAGAGTACATCACCACCAAGCCAGCATTACAAGAAATGCTAAAGGGACTGCTGTAATGAGAAAAAAAAATAGGGAAACTTAGGCATACAGAATTAAATGGCAATAAATAAGTACCTAGCAATAATAACCTTAAATGTAAATGGATTAAATGCTCCAATCAAAAGATGTAGGGTAGCCCTAACCGGTTTGGCTCAGCAGATAGAGTGTCGGCCTGCGGACTCAAGGGTCCCAGGTTCGATTCTGGTCAAGGGCATGTACCTTGGTTGCGGGCATATATTCAGTAGGGGGTGTGCAGGAGGCAGCTGATTGATGTTTCTCTCTCATCCATGTGTCTAACTCTCTATCCCTCTCCCTTCCTCTCTGTAAAAAATCAATAAAATATATTTTAAATAAAGGTGTAGTGTAGATGAATGGATACAAAAGCATGACCCAATTATATGCTGTCTACAAGAGACCCACCTCAGAGCAAAAGACACACACAGGATGAGAGTGAAGGGATGGGAAAAATTTTTCTATGCAAATGGGAAAGAAAAAAAGTTGAGGTACCAATACTCATATCTGACAAAACAGACTTTAAAATGAAGGCCATCACAAGAGACAATAAAGGTCACTACATAATACTAAAGGGATCGATCCAACAAGAGGATATAACCCTGGTAAACTTATATGTACCCAATATAGGAGCACCTAAATATATAAAAAAAATTCTAGAGAACTTTAAGGGAGAGATCAATACTGTCATAGTAGGGGACTTTAATACCCTGCTGACTTCACTGAATATATCTTTCAGACAAAAACTTAACAAAGAAACAGTGAGCCTAAAGGACACATTGGATCAGATGGATTTAATTGGCATTTATAGAACATTTCACCCCAAAGCTACAGAATATACATTCTTCTCAAGTGCACATGGCTCATTCACAAAGGTAGACCACATGTTAGGACACAAAAGAAGTCTCTACAAGTTCAAGAAGATTGAAGTCATATCAAGCATCTTCTCAGATCATAGTGAAATGAAATTAGATATCAATTACAGTAAAAACACCCCAAAACATTCAAACTCATGGAGGCTAACTAGTATGTTATTAAGCAATAAATGGTTACCAACGAGATCAAGAAAGAAATAAAAAAAAACTTCCTAGAAACAAATAAAAATGAACACACAGCCCGGCTGGCATGGCTTAGTGGTTGGGCATCCACCTATGAAGCAGGAGGTCATGGTTCGATTCCTGGTCAGAGCCCAGGCCCAGTTTGTGGGCTTGATCTTGAGTGGGACATGCAGGGGGCAGCCGATCAATGATTTTCTCTCATCATGGATGTCCCTATCTCTCTCTCCCTTTCCCTTCCTCTCTGAGATCAATAGAAATGTATTTTTAAAAATGAACACACAGCAATCCAAAATCTCTGGGACACAGCAAAAGCAGTCCTGAGAGGGAAGTTCATAGCACTACAGGCCCACCTCAAAAAACAAGAAAAATTGAGGACTATTTCCCCCTCCTCACATGGGGAGTCTGTACTGTGAGATTCTTTCCCTTTCCCCATGTGAGAGTCTGTGCTTGTTCTTCAATAAATTTCCACCTTTGCTATAAAAAACAACAAGAAGAAGAAAAATCAGCAATAAATTATTTAACCCTACAACTTAAAGAGCTAGAAAGTGAATAACAAGAAAAGCCCAGAGTAAGTAGAAGGAAAGAAATAATAAAGATTAGAGCAGAAATGAATGCCTAGAGATTAAAACAACAATATAAAAAGTCAATGAAACCAAGAGCTAGTTCTTTGAAACAATAAACAACATTGATGAACCATTAGCCAGACTCATCAAGAAACAAAGAGAAAGGGCTCAAATAAATAAAATCAAAAACAAAAGTGGAGAAATAGCCACCGACACCACAGAAATACAGAGCATTGTAAGGAAATACCATGAACAACTCTATGCCAACCAGCTGGATAATGTGGATTTAATTGACAAATTCCTAGAAAAATATAATCTCCCAAAACCGAATCAGGAAGAATCAGAAAACCTGAATAGGCCAATAACAACTGAGTAAACAGAAGCAGTAATCAAAACACTCTCAGCAAACAAAAGCCTGGTTCCAGACGGTTTCACAGGGCAGTTTACCAAACATCCAAAGAAGAACTAACACCTCTACTCCTCAAACTATTTAAAAAAATCCAAGAGGAAGGAACACTTCCAACCTCCTTTTGTGAGTCCAGCATTATCCTAACTCTAAAACCAGGTAAAGACACTACAAAGAAAGAGATTTACAGGTCAATATCCCTGATGAACATAGATGCTAAAATCCTCAACAAAATATTAGCAGCAAACCAGATCCAGTAATACACCAAAAAGATCATACACCATGACCAAGTGGGATGTGTTCCAGACATGCAGGCTGTTACAATATTTGCAAATCAACAAACGTGATACATCACATAAACAAATTAAAAGACAACCACATAGTCATATTAATTG